GAATGGGGCCATGTTTCCTCTTGGTACCAGCCCAGCACACAATGTGTCAGAGCAGTGCTCTAGACTACACAGACAACTGAAGGTCTCGGGGAGCCTGATAGGACACTAGGAGTCAGTTGGGCTCAAGAAAACCCTCCCCACAGGCTCTGCTTCCAGACCACTTATGGCTGTAGAAGGAAAAACCCATAGTGGGTACAGAAGCTAGGTCAGTCTCATGCTTCAAGAGGGTTATCCTGCCTGAGGTTAACTCCATCAGCTTCAGAGCAGCTTTGCAACACCCACATGATGCAAAGCAGTTGCATCCCAGATCAGGGTACCCCCCCAAAAACCTCAGCTACGAGTTAGCTGGAAGAAAGTCTCACATGCCCTTCCAGTTTTACTCCATGCATCAAGCCTTATCCTCTGCTCATCCGAGAATCTCACCTTTTTCTCAAATTCATCCACCAAGCCAGATAGGGCAATTGTCTTCTTGTAATATGCCCAATCAATGGCTGGGGGCTTCTCTGGTAGGGAGGTCAACCTGACAGACAAGAGCAGAGCAATCAGTAAAATAGCCAATAGATTTCCAGACAGCTCCCAGTTCCATACACCATTCTTCTGCCCCCCAGGGCAGTCTCCAGATAAGCAATATCATCTGGTACATTTCATTATGAGTATTCTAAGATTCATCAATCAAGAAATAGAATTTAGCAGGGCTGTATTTTGTCCACATGCCCATGCCAGGGTGTTTTGCATAGGTGACTACAATACTACTTCTTTTCCCCCGTCATCAATGAAAGTGTGAAGGGGGTGCTGGTTTTCCTGAATTTTGAAATGCTGGTACAAACTGTTTGAAGAGAGATAATACACAGTAGTGCTGGCAAAATTCCCAAACTAGAGTAAAGGGGATTGCTTGGACAAGATCCTGGAACAAAGAGAAAGAACAAACGTGTTTCTTCTCAAGCAAATCACTTTATTGGAAACAAAACAAAAAAAAACCTAAATTAGTATTTGAACCAGGCAAACGGGAATGCAAAGCCATACTCATGTCTGGGAAGAGAAGTGTAAGCTAGGCCCCAGAATCTCTGAACTCTGGTGGTTGTTCAGTTCCTTGGATCCTTCATTCCCCAACCTTCTCAAGTGTACAACCACAGATACCCAGTTATTAATGATATTCACCTAGCCACACTTTGGTTGCACACAGTTAAATGTTCCACTGAAAATGATTCAGTCCAGTTTACAAAGTTCTCTTGTGGCCTTGGAAGATTTCCATTAATTAGGATTTGTGTGTTGCAAAAGTTACATTTCTGGAAGGGAGGATTCTTTATCTCCTTCCTTCACCATTATGGAATGTTGTTCGTTACCATTCCACTTTTCCTTCCACCTTGGTTTATGGCCTTTAATAAGGCTGCTTTGTTTTCACAATTTATCTGAAGAAACCCAACACAGCTCTCTCTCATATAAATTAAACTGCATCTAATATACTTGGTCACATAATATTACTACTAACATGCTTAAGATATATTAGAGTCTATTTGGATGGTCTAATTGGAGGCCTTTCTTTATGGTGCTTAGAGGTCCACTGATACATTGGTCTGATATCAGATTGGTACTGATATAAAGAAAACTGGCTGTATTGGATATCGGACCGATAATTTGGCTGATAAATGCCCATGCTGTGTGCAGCTGCAGCACAGCACTCAGGCAAGGAGAAGAACTGCCTCCAGCTGGTAAGTCTGGTGTGGTGGAAGGGGAAGGGGGCAGGGGGAGGGCCGCGGCTCCCACCACTGCTTGCACCCTGAGAGGGCACAGGGGAGGGGGAAACCTGTGCACCCCAGATCTGCGCAGGGCAGGGCAGGCTGCAGCCAGGGCTCTTCTTGGCGGGGGCTAGGTTCGAAGCAGATGCCAGCACCCCAAATTTCGCTGCCGCTCTGCTTCCAGTGCTGCCACTGCCAGCTGCCCAGTACAGCCCTGGCTCAATGCTCTGCTTCCACCCACACACCAGGAAGAGCCGGGGCTGGGCTGGGCCGGGCAGCTGGTGGCAGTGCTGGGAGCAGAAGCAAAATCTGGAGTGGATGCAGCATCCTCCCAGCACCACCGGTGCCCATTCTGAACCCAGCCCCCGCTGAAAAGAGACCCGGGCAACCCCAGCTGCAGCCCACCCCACGCAGATCCAGGGGGCAAACGTTCTCCACCCCCGTGCCTTCCTGGGGTGCAAGCAGCAGCAGGAGCCACCTCCTTCCCCCCACCCACGAGCCGTGGCTCTGCCCATGCTCCCCCACCCCGCCTGGGCAGTGCCTGCCCCTGTCCCATCTCCCACTGGGGGGGCAATGATCTGCACCCCACTCATGCCCCATCCCTCCCCACTCCCTTCCACCACACCAGACTGACCAGCTGGAGGCAGCTGTATCGGAAATTGGATCAGTATCAGCCAAATGCCTCCTCAGATATCAGATATCAGCTATCAGCCCCAAAAATCTCGATCAGTGCACCCCGAATGATGTTTCCTTCCAGGCTTTGTGTTTCATTTTGTGTGTGAACTCATTATTAGTTCAGCTGGACACATCACTGGCTTCCTTTACTTTGCTGACCAGGCTGGTTGTTATATCTACAGATATTCACTTTATGGTTACTAAGAAACAAGCTTTGTGGCCTTCTGTTTTAGCCATACTTCTGCAGCTAAACCTGGGATTTTTATTGTTTTGGTTAAACATTTACAACATACACTTCCAATCTTTATACAGTGGAGCATATATATACACGAGATAGAGGTGCTTATACAAAGGCTTTAAGGAATTCCCTGGCTGCTGAAGCCAAGTACTGTGTGCACCTAGCAATCACAACAGAGATGGGCAATAGCTAAGCTGACTTCCCCCAGGGTTCACTACACATCTTATAAAAAGCTTGGATAGCAAATTCAACTGTTAAGCCTTTTTCTGACCACACCAGACACAGCTGTTTTCTCAGGTCTTCTGCTAACGTTATTCTTCCCGTGTCACTGTGGGGAAGGCTGAGCCAGAGCAGACTCTGCACCAGCGAACAGCATGCTTCCCTTTGGAAAGAGGATTCATGTTAAGAACTGCTCCGTAAGCACAGAGCTAAGAAAATTCTTTCGAGTCACCACAGGGTGCATCGGGGGCCAGGGGGTGTGGTGCACTTGCACCCTCCTTTGCTTCCTGCTCCATCCAAAGTTTAAAAGCACCTGCCTGGCCGTGGCAGTGCTGAGGGAGTCACTAGACTTCATGTCTCCTTGTCATCTACCTAGTTCCTTCTAAACCCTTCATCCCAGGGCATTAACAACTCTCTCTGTTTTAACGTTCTTTATGTTCCACCCATCAAGCTAGCCTCTGTTCTGCATTTCTGCTGTCTGTAGCTGCTCCTTCACAGATAGAGCTTTATTGGAATGAATTAAAAACATTCTTTGTAAAAATATTTTAAACTGAGTAATGCAGCCCGAGGCCCCAAGCGTAATAAAAGAAATCAGAAGCTTTGCTAACTGAAGAAGATGCATTGCTTTCTATGTGATAATGACGCACCCCCACCCACACTCCCTGGATCTACCCGTGCATCACCACCTTGCCGCTTTACCAGCCTCTGCTGCCAGAGCCAGGTTCCTGCACGGCCACGCTCCCCGGAAACCCACTCACCTGGACGAAATGGCGTCGCTGGTGGTCTTCAGGGCGTTAAACATGATGCGCTGGTCGAGCGGCACACGCTCCGCGAATGCCATCCAGTCGATCGCTTTCAGCGCCGCTCGGCGACCAGCCATGGTCTCGACCTACAGCAGAACAGACGTCAAACCCGGACAGACCCAGAGCTGCCCTCAGGGGCCACGGAGAAAGAGGCGGTGTCTTGTTAGAAGACCATGCCCTCGCCCTCACCCACTCGCTTTCTACTGAACGTGGCAGCAGCTCCAAGCCAAAAGCTGCTCCTGGGGCTGCCTCAGTTTACCTCAGGGCTTCCCAGGGGGTGGCTGCTGCTGTCATAGGAGTGCCCCACCCCCATCCACTGCCCAAGCTAGGGTTACCAGACATCCGGGTTTTCCCAGACATCCTCTTGTTGGGGCCCGTGCTGTGCCTGGGCGGGATTTTAAAATAACAGCAAATGTCTGGGCTTTTTGCTGTTCCTCTCCCCTCCCCGGCTGGCTGCTCCGGGGTTGCGTGCTCCCCACTCAGGCGGGGAAGGGAGAAGAGAAGCGAAGCCTGCACAACGTGGGGGCTGCTTGGGCAGCGGGGCTGGGGTCAGGAGGGAGGGAGGGCAGGGCGCTGCTGTTTGGGAGCGAAGGGCACCAGCAGGGCTGGGGGGCAGCGGAGCTGGGGCTTGCTAGTGAGGGGCGGGGCAAGATAAGGGGCAAGGGCAGGGGTAGGGGCAGGGCACCAACGTGTCGCTGCCCCTCCCCCCCACCATCATCATATTTTCCCAACCCCCCAACAGGAGTCCCTTTTTGGGGCCTGGAAATACCTCCCTACCACTTCACTCACCTTCACAGACCGCCGCGACCCAGACGGAAATGACGTCCCGCTTCAGCCAATAGCAGACTAGCACCCACCGGAAGCGTTGAGTTCAAATTCCCGCCCACTGCCCTCAGGCGACCCGGAAGGGATTTTCCCAAACGTTCTAAAAGTGACAGGAAGGAGCCCATGAAACGAGTCGCTTCCTCCCGCTCGAACCCTTGACGTTTTGTTTCCGGTCGCCCCGGAAGTGGTTGTGGCCCTACGCTGTCTGCGGGGGGCCGCCTATGACGCGAGGGTTCC